CAACAAACCGAAATTTTAAGCAAAAACGGCAATGATAAATAGTAAAATTTATAATAGTAAAAAATAGTAAATTTTATTTCATAGTTCCTTATTGCTATTTTATTAATTTAATTTTTAATGTTTTAAATCAGTATAATTTTCAACCTTGTGCAAGTATTTTGAGCTTGACTGATGTTCTAATAGACTTTAATATGATGAACTTGATGATGAATATTGTATTTAATGTTCGAATGCTTTTTTTCAGCTCTTTTTTCAGAAGCGAAAATCGTGCAGCTACTATGATTATTATAAAATTACTATCCTTTCAATATTAATTATGAGTAAGCTTGACAAGAGCCTGAAATAGTATTTATTATTATTGATTACGGCTTGCTTATGAATAAATAAATAAATATAATATATAAAGCTTATAACAGGGTCACTTTTTATAATAACTTTATCTATTTATAAAATCGCAATATATAGTATAGTATAGTATAGTTTATAGTTTGGTGAAAAGTCTCAGACATAAAGAAATTTCACCTTTAAACGCTTTATTGTACGTTAAATAATCATGAACAAAAATTAAATATATATATATCGGAGATCATGAAACCGCAATTGACGCGATCCGAGTTCATCCCAAGTAATTTAATATCTTCGTTTTGGGCACCGTTAGAAGACCAAGAATAATAAATGCAATGTCGACAGTTGCTGATAGAAAATAGACTTGGATCAATCCTGTCCGTCAATGTGCGTCAAATTCTAATGTGGATCTGCAAAAAGGAAGAAGCGCAGTATCACAAAAGAAATATACTAATAAATGAATTTGAATAAAATATATTTTATATAGAAAGGGTTAGTAAAATTTATTAAATAATAAAATTTAGGGAAAAGATGACATGAATGAGAGGCAGATGATTACTAAATCGTCATTGGTTAGCAAAGTATTGTTTAATATCAAAATTAACAAATTCTGAAATATCATAGAAATATTGAGCTTTTAAGAATTTTACTATAGTATTGTGGAATTTATGATTATTTAGTTTTCGTATGTGAAGTGGTAGTAAGTTAAAAAGTTGAATTCCAAATCCGTCAATTGAGTTAAAAGACGTTGCAAGTTTAAATACTGGTGCTTTAATAGTTAAGTTTCTTGTCTTGTAATGAGAATTTGACATTGAAGACAAATTGAAACGTTCGGGATTATTTTTTATAAACGATAAAGTAATGAGCAAAAATATACTGGGAACGGTAAGGATACTATGTTCACGAAAAATGTTTTTACAAGAAGATAAAGAACTAATAGAAAAAATTATTCTCAAAGCTTTTTTTTAAAGTTTGAAAATGCGGTTAAGAGATGGAGAGAACCCCAAAAACTGGATTCCATATGCGATGTGTGAGTAAAAATTGGAATAGTAAATTGAGATAAGACAATTAAAACTAACCTTAGATTTAAGAACTCTTAACATAAAACACGTTTTCGTTAAATTGGGTGTTAGTATAGAATCAATGTGATAGTTCCAATTTAAGTTTTTATGCAATTGTATGCCTAAAAACTTTGAGAGAGAAGAAAATTTAGTAAAGAAAATAATATCATTTACGTTCAGCGTGCTTATCTCATTATTAATTTTATTAACAGTACGAAATGATATTATATGGGTTTTATCATTATTAAGTAGAAGACTATTGGATTTAAACCAATTGGAAATTGAAGCCATTACTAAATTTAATTTGTTACTTATTTCTTCCAAAGAATTTCCCTTAACAATAATACTAGTGTTATCAGCAAAAAGAATAAATTTACAAAGATCTGAACAATTCGGAAGATCATTTATATATATAAGAAATAATAAAGGTCCAAGTATTGAACCTTGAGGGACACCGAGTTTAATATTTAATTTGTCTGATATTATTACATATTATGACATCACCGCTCAAGTAAACAGACTGAGTCCTGTTTGATAAATAAGACGAAAATAAGTCAAGAGCTGAACCACGTACGCGGTATTTTTCAAGCTTATTACAAAGGATATCATGGGAGATACTATCAAAGGCTTTGGACAAGTCACAAAAAATTGTAATGCAAAAGCTACCATCTTCAAAAGAATAAACAATATCATGTAATAAAGTGAATATAGAATGGGATGTTGAGCATTTTTGTCGAAATCCAAACTGATTTTAAATAGAATACCGTTTTTTGTTAAAAAAATATTAAGGCGACTATGTAAGATTTTTTCAAAAATTTTATCAAAAGTATTTAATAATGAAATTGATCTGTAATTATTAATTAAATCCGTGGCCCCTTTCTTGTAAAGAGGCTTAACTTTTGAATGTTTAAGATGATTTGGGTAGGTGCCTTTATCGATAGCGTTATTAAAGCATATGAGAAGTTTATCAATAAATAATGGAAAAAATTGTTTTAAAATGTCAGATGAAATTTCATCTGGTCCTGAGGAATAACAATTCTTAAGAGAAAAAGTTGCATGCGACAATTCCTCGGAGGATATAGGATATAGAGAAAGGGAATTTGAAGTAGTTTTTATTTTAGAAAAGATTGCATTTGAAATGACCGGATCAATAGTTATATTTGAAGTCAAATTAAAAGCTTCATTAATGAAAAAATTATTAAATGCGTTGGCAATTGATAGCTGATCATAAATTTTTATATTATTAATATTAAGGAATTCAATATTGGTAGAATTTGCTTTAAAGTTAACTTCCGATTTTATGAGTGACCACATCGCTTTTTGTTTATTATGAGAAGTGAAAATAATATTATCATTGTACTTGATTTTTGCTAGTTCACATAAATCGTTGAAAATTTCTCTATATTTCAAAAAATAAATCATAAAACTAAAATTACTATTATGTTTGGATTCTCTTTCTAAACGCAATAATTTATTATATGAAATACATAGGCCTTGAGAGTACCACGTTTGAGTTTTATTAATGTTCATTTTATGTTTTGATATAGGGAAAGCAGTGTTGAAATTATGTAAAAAAAGAATTTATAAATGTATCAAATGTAAGATCATTGGATTGATCCAATATATTCCAAGTCTCTTTTTCTAGTAGTTCCTTGAAAAATAATTTATTTTTTATATTAAATTTTCTTTTATACCGATACACGTGGGAAGTAGAATTAGTAGTATTAGGCAAAGAGAGCGAAATTCCATAATGGTCAGAAAGACCGGTATTAATTACACAAGAATTTACCGTAGATATATTTGTGAAAAAATTATCAATAACAATTGTGATTACAGCAGAATTATGTTTTGTGCAATACTGATATTTTAAAAACAGTATTGTCAGTTCTCTATTCATGATCTATCACAAACTGCTGTAAATAAATACACAAAAATTCTTCTCGGTTCTTTAAATTGCTTTTTGAATCTCTCCTCGTTGTTTCGCGTACTGGATAAATGTTTCTTGCATTGGCATTGACGTTGCATTTTCATGCAGCATAAATTTGCATCCGAATACGATACGTTGAATGGAGGATTAAAGTATTGAATAAAAGCCACATAGCAATAAATTCGTATCTACTAAAAGTCAAAAAAACTGGAAATTGAATCGGCGATTCAACGTATATATAGTTATAGTCCATGTACTGACTATGTGTCAGAGTAGAGTAATCAAAGACACGATGGCCAGGCAAACTTTTTACTCATGTTAAATTAATTTCAAACCCCTGGCCCAATTCTTGGATGAAATAGAGAAATTTATGATAGATCAATTACATATTTCATGTCAAAAATGACTGACATGCACAGTTCTGTATTTTGCGTCGGCCTGTGGGACAAGAGCTATGACAATATTATGCAGGATAGTTTGCATGTCCAATGGACACAAAAAATATTTTATTATCGTTTAAGATACTCTTGGAAAACGCCCTCATACTAAAAATGAATTTTGTCTAAAAATAATAATTTATAAGTGTGGAAGTCAACGGTGATCAGCAGGTATAAAACACAGTACTGAATGTATATGTTGAGCGCGGAATGTACCTAAGCGCGAGGCTATTTATTTAAAACTTTGATGAATATTTATTATTTAACCAATATTAATGGGCTTTTTATATATTAGTATGTTAGTTTGAACCATCAAATCTAGCATTCTAGCACGAAGAAGGATCAAAACTATTCTCAACATATATTTTTTCGAACGGTTTTCAAACTTCTAGAATAGAATCGTACCGTAAATCGTAAACCTTGACAAAAGTTTATAAATATAGTTTTTCTGATTTTACAGATCGATTCAAATGTATTATTTTCTATCGATATCTTACTATCATAAAAATGTGTAATATTTTTCAATTTCGAATAAAAAATAACTAAGGCGTAAACAAAAGATTTTGTTTTTTTATTTGGCCTTTTTATCTAGTAGCTACATCAGCTCAAACAAAAGATTGCATTTTTGATCGCGCTAGTGAATCGCTTATCTTCCTAATAAAAGTGAGCAAAGTCAGTTTATTGAAAACGTCGAGGGTCCTTTATTATAATTGTAAGTACGAACCGTAATAATTACATTACATTATCTAGGTTATTAATATTAGCGCAATGAGTACTAAATAGTGAAAGCAATGACATTTGACAGATTGAGTTGTTACAAATGAAAATTCGTAACCCAATTGATTCGTAACGCATTTGGAAGCTCTAATTTGTTAATATATATATATATATATATATATATATATATAAATTAATTTATCATATATATTACTTTTGCTTGGTGTCGGCGAACAAAGAAGATTGTTGTGTTGGAACAGATCAAACTTAGAAAATAATTTTATCGATTGGATTATGCATTATCTTTTGAAATAATTTTAAGCAACAAGAAAGTGTTAAGTTTAGGTACCTCATTTCGATATTTTATATAATTTATTATATTAATCGAGCCCAATGAAAACATATACACAATTCATTCGAAATTTTTCTATTATGCATGCGTGAAGTCCATGTGCAATATAATACGGCAATATAATATCTTCCCGATTGAACATAGTTTTGTTTTAGTAAAGGAACAAGAAGTATTAGATCGAGGAACAGCAGTGAATCTGACTTGACGAAAATGGCTTTGCATGTTCCGAAGGCACCAGGAGTGCACCAGATGCTAAGAGGAGGCGCGCGCGTATATAGCGGCATGGAGGAGGCTGTTCTTAGGTAACTCTTCATAAAGAACCATGACGTTCTAACCACCCGCTACATCATTATAAAGAACCGATGTTCGGCATACTAGCATCGTAATTATATTTGATACTCGTTTTTTGATAATATGCATTCGTTTGTTGCTTTTCAGAAATATAAATGCCTGCAAGGAATTTTCGCACAGTTTGCGTACTGCTTTCGGCCCAAATGGAATGGCCAAAATAATTGTCAACTATCTCAATAACCAATTTGTGACGAGCGACGCCGCGACCATAGTACGTGAACTGGAAATACAGCATCCTGCTATAAAGGTGTTAGCAGACGCAGCCTTTGTCCAACAGGATGAAGTGAGTTCACTAAACTACGGCATATCAATAAATAAAAAATAAATCAGAGAATATGCAAATAAATAAATTAATCTATCAATCAAATAAATAAATAATAGTACACCAATAGTATATTATATATTTCAAGAGCAATCAAAACTACGTGTTCTATAAGCTTCTTATAGATCAGCTTGGATGTGGGTATTATATTGCATAAATCTAATAGTGATCGAAACATATAATTCTTATGCAGCTATTCGCACGAAAGGCGATTTCCATTTGAGACTATATTCTAGATTTACAGATAAAATAATTAATTGTTTAAAAAGTAATCAATCAATCAATCAGATTCGCGATGGATATTTTTAAATGAAAACTTACATTATAATATCTGTAATCGTATTAATTTAATCGCTATACTTCATGTACTAAAAATGAATTAATTTTGTCTAAACGGTGATCAGCAAGTACAATGTACAGTACTGAATGCATATGTTGATCGCGGAGTTTACTTAAGAGCGAGGATGTTTATTTAAAATCTTTGATAATATTTTATCATTTAACCAATTTTCATTAGCCTTAAAATATAATCACATTAAACCAATAGATCTATCATTATAAACAACATATATATTTGTATTATAGATGGGCGATGCAGTTAACTACGTAATCATTTTGGCGGGTGCTCTTTTGGAGTACGCCGAAGAGCCATTATCCATGGGGGTTACGCCCGCAGAGATTGCAGATGGATATGAATTGGCCCTGGCATTTGCGGAGAATCATTTGACAAAGATGGTAGCATATGATTTTACAGACATATGCTCGTTGGAGGTAAGGATTAAAATTAGAATAATAGAATAATATATATATATATATATATATATATATATATATATATATATATATTATATTTAGCAACCTGCGCTATTATTTTTATTTTCATATTTGTTATTACATACCTACATTATTTTGTATTCTATTCTATTTATTTTTTATGCATTTTTTGCCAATTGTTGCCCAAAACTAATCAACGCTAGTCGTTATAGAGTTCGATCAAATGGTTATCAAAGGTTTTTTGATTAGATTCAGAAGTTTTCAAGAAAACCTCGACGAATATGAATTTCTGCTTAACATACACACCAACATACTATTTTCAGTTTTGGTGTCAAACGATTCATAATGATTAGAAACGTCGAGACAACAAACTTAGCAAATTGGATTTCTCTGGCGAAAACAAACTGTTTAGGGATTATCATAAGAACCACACAACAACAAAACAGCATCAGAAGTCTCTATAAAAACAATAACAAAACTTGTTTGTGTTTTGTAGTCAGTGAAGAAAATCCTTAATTCGGTGATACAATCGCGACAATTCGGGTTGGAGGACGTCCTAACACCTTTGGTTGCCCAAGGCTGCGTAGCTGTGCGTAGTGCGACTGACGATTTCTCGACCGGACGCCTCCGAGTCTGCAAAATTCTTGGCGGCGGATTACACGCCAGCACTGTTGTCCGCGGGATGGTCTTGAAGCGTATCGTTTCAGGTGTCGTCAGAGATGCAACAGATGCCGGCGTCGCCGTATACGATTGCCCGGTGGATTACTCGCGCACCGAGACTAAGGGTAAGAATAACTTATTTTCAATGACGGTACCATACTTACATTCGGATTAATTGAATTATATATTGATTTAACATTATAAATATGTCACGTTTATATTAAATCGCAATTTTGTACTATATTAAAGCCTTTTTTTTATTTTAGGCGAAGTTGTTGCATTGCCAATTCATATATTCCATATCAAAATAATCATATATTTTGAACCTTACTCATAGTTATTCGTAGTTACGGAATTAAGTCATCAAAGATAGAGTTGATGTAAAACTTAAAAACATTTATTTTTTTATTGAAATTTAAATCATACAAATTTTGAATGATAACTAACTTTTATTTATTTTTTTTATCGCGTAATACATTATATTTTTTATTAACTTCCCGTAGGGTAAGTTATAGTAATCGCAAAAAAATCGAAAATGAAAATTTGTATATATCTTTACGTTTCAGAGGTTTCTTAACATTTTGGCATACCTTAGAAAAAATGGATGTATGTGTGTGTGAGTGTGTGTGTGTGTGTATGTGTGTGTGTGTGTGTGTATGTATGTATGTATGTACGTGTGTGTATGTATGTGCGGATACAAATTTTCGTCGACGATTTCGGGAACACGGATCAACCGATTTGAATAATTCAGAAAACAATCGATTCGTATTGATAAGGAGACGTGCTGATTAGTTTTTGGCAAAGGCAGGTCCAGCCGTTCCAAAGATACGGGGCAAAAAGTGCCGAAAACGGTAACTCAGTTTTTAAGAGAACGGAGCGTCCGATTTTAATAATTCAAAAAACATTTCACTTGTATTGACAAGATGAAGAATTGATCAAATTTTCATGAGGGCAGGTCTAGCGGTTTCGGAGATCTAACGAAAAAAGTAAAAAAAAATGCCATTTGGCGGTCAAAAATGATCATTAGACATATGCACATCAAATCATCAGATATTTTATAGATATTTTAACAATAAGTATAAATTTTGTTTGCATTCCTATGGGTTCCGTACCAATATTTATTCGTTAGACGGCGACGCGCCGCTTACGCGCTTTGACATTTTGTCTCTATGCAGTTAAAGCAGTACGATTGCTTTGAAAAAAGATCTTCCAAAATATGCCAAAATAAAGAAGAAAACATTATTTTTTCCAAAAAAAATTAAAAAAAAAAAAAAAATTAGATTTTTTTTTGAAAAAATTTTTTTTTCAAAAAAAGGTAATTTTTTGTTTAATTTATAGTTTCTCAAAAATCTTATTTTTTCGAAGTAAATTTGTTTTAAAAATGTCAATCGTTTTTAAAAAAATAATAATTTTTGGAACGGGAAGTTCCAGCAATTTGCCTTAAGGCACGATGCCTTAATTGCCTTAAGACAGAATTCCACTTACAGCTAGTTTTACGTAAGAATAATAAAGTAGACTGTGGCTTTCTCAGTGGCTTAGATATGCGGTTTGCACATGAAAGATAGATGATAATACATTTCCAAGTTAGACTTTAAAGAAGCATCACTATTAGAGAAATTCTAAAAATAAAAATACATTTCGAAAAATTTTCTAAAAAGCTACGCAGTTAGGAAATATCGTCTCATAATAATGAAAGTGTAGATTTAATATAATATACAATAATAAGTGTAATTATATAATATATACATGCACAGATAAAATGGCATTCATTTATAAGAATCATAATAATAGTAACAGATAAATCATTATATTATCTGAAATGTTAATGTGTATATATTAAAAATGTTTATTATATGGTCGATGTGAGAATATATTATTTAAATGTTTAGGCACTGTCTTATTTCATACGGCAGCAGAGTTAAGAAACTACAGCCATGACGAGGATCGTATTTTGGAAGAACAGGTAAAATAATAATGTGAAAATAAGATCAGTGTTGTGTTTGTTAATTATATGCCCCTCAGTAATTTTTCGATTATGTATTGGTTTGTGTTAATTTGGGACAGTTGAAAATTTTGTAATGATTTTGAAAGTTGTTAAAATAGATTATTTACCCATATAGGGAGGCTCATTCAATATGCCTTAAGGCAAAATTCCACAAACACCTAGTTAATTTTGGATTTATGTCACAACATGTAACTGAGATTGATTGTAAATATGAAATAGTAGTAAATGCCCAGTTACTACTACATACTGAGTTTGTTTGTATACATTTTAAACATGTTAAATATATTTGTTATTTTACCTTTTTTCCAGATCAGAGCCCTTGCTGAGGCCGGAGTTAAGGTGGTGGTGTGCAGCGGAAAAGTGGGAGACATGGCCCTTCACTTCCTCAATAAACACCATTTGATGGTGGTCCGTCTAATTAGCAAATTTGATTTGTTGCGAGTCTCTGAGGCAGTCGGTGCAAGAGTCCTGTGTAATCTTAAACCGCCGTTAAAAGAGGTGCCAAAAATTTTTATTCTTAATTCATTAAGTTCAAGTTTCATCATAATCATCAGTACTATGCATTAGTTACTCAAAAGGGCGTGTACATCCAGTCTTATAGCTAATTTATGTCCTTTTGATTTGATAATTATCAATTACTAGCTGACCCGACAAACGTTGTTTTACTAATTGTAAGTAAGGTATATTCTAAACAATTTCTCGAGAATCAAAAATTTAAAGTATTGATATCTTTGATTCTCTAGAAATTGTTTAGAATATACCTAGAATATACGTGTATAAGGATATGTTGTTTGAATGCTATATACAATGAGGTATTATAAAAACAATAAACCTCATTACTTTGTCTATTGTATTTTGTCAATACAGTCAAACTGGAAGTTTTATACACTTTCTATAGAAAACATGGTATAATCCAATCCAAGTCTTTTGATTTTGTAATCTAGAACTTTTTATCCTATAGGCGGGGTAACTTGGAACGGCCCGGTGGCAAACAGGTTTAATGTCTTATTTTAATTTTAAAGGCATTTTTCAAAATAATTATATTTTAATTAATGCTAAAAATCTACCAACGGAAGAAAATACTTTTATTATGAATTTTCAAAGATTACCGTTTATCTCCCGATAGCAGGGTCATGAGAATCAAGTTATAGCTGGTTATACATCTTTTTGCCTCTACTTTTAAATATTGTTTTAAACCATGCTTAACTTTACTTGTTGACACATCGGTGGTGGACCTTTTTAACCCCGGACCTTTATACATTACTATCTATTCTTCGATAAATTTTGGGAAATTATAACTAGGTAAATGTTATTCGACAAAATGTCCCTGTGATCGGTACCAAATTTAGGTTCTGAATTGAAATGACATAAATCAAAAATAATATAACCTAGAAAATGTTTTATAAATACCAATGAGTATATAATTATACAAATGAGATCTCTCAGATCACGGTGCTTGAGAAAAATATGCCAAAAAGTGCATTTTCATATTAACATTTCAAAAAAGTTGAAATTCTTAGATTGTAGTAACACTTGCGGCCCGTTTACTAATGTTTTTGTATATAAATATAACTACGAACAAAACTACTTACTACAATTTAATCATAATTAAATAATATTCACGTAAAACATCTTATTAAACGTAATTGAACATCATCTGTCAAAACCGTTTGACCTTTGACGTATTAGCCACCGTCCATTGTTTTATTCAAATTATGCTTCTACAAAAATTTTCAAATTAAAAATGTAAAGTTTCTACGCGATTTTGAAATATTATCTCACCTTTCCGACCATCTCTGGATTGGCACGAATTTTTCAAGACTAAGACTGGCCAAATCGGTTTAGCCGTTTTCGAATTTTACCGATCGAGAGTTCCATTTTTATATATAAGATTATAACTTGTGACGGCTATGTCTATTATTAAACAGTAATTGCATACTAATGCTATACAAGTTACTTTATTTGTATTTAAATCCCATATTAAAGGTGTTTATATGCTAAATTGAAATGAAATATGATACTAATAATATGATAATTAATAAATTTAATAAATTCAAAAAATTAATAATTGATATGTAACAAGAATAATTATCAAATATTATTTATGAAAATCTGATTACCGTTAATATTTGCTAGCAGAGTAATATCACTGGTATTTATTTATTGTATAAGAAATATGGAATATGAAAGAATATGAAATTTTTAATTATTATAATGACAAAGTATTACAAAGAAGTTTTTGAATTAAATAAATAAAATAAAAAGTGTTAAAAAGAAGTTTTTTAATTAAAAAAAAAATAAGTAAAAGACAATTTATACTTTCTATTTGTTACCATACATGCTACCATTGGGCATGTAATATGTTTTACTACCTTATTTTTATTTTTTATATATAATGCTACAACACTCTGAAGTAGATCTCATTTTCATTAAGAGTAAATTATAATTCGAATTGTGTTCCTTTTCAAAGCTTCTGAGACGTTCAGAAGTGTAGCACGTACTCATCGAAATAAATCTGGCAATCAACGAGGAGATACATATGATACGTTAATAATATATGTCGCCAATTTTGTTAAATCATTTTCAATTTGATTGAAAAGCAATATGTCCTTGCAGGAGTTGGGCCATTCTGATGAAGTGATCGCCAACGAAATTGGCGATACCTGCGTTATAATATTTCGCCGTAACAGGCAAATCAATCGCGTGGACGAAGGGAAAGGTGATTCGATCGTGGGTTGCCCTTTGGCAACCGTCCTCCTACGAGGTGCCACCGACGCAGCAATGGACAATGCCGAACGCGCCATGCAGGTCAGAATTATTTCATACTATACTGATGATGTTATTGGATACATACATTTTTATCCTTCGTTTTGTTTATCAAGTTTAATTCGTTTTTGCAAGCATCTTTTACTTATATGCTATTAACAATATATATATATATATATATATATATATATATATATATATATTGTTACAAGCTGTACCCTTTCACGCTTTCCGGAGTTTTACTTTCAATTTAAAATTTTAACAAAAATGCATGTTTGTTACATTTAGTCCACCAGTTTTCTCGTCTTCTAGTTTACCTGTCTATATGACTATCTATCTACCAGTTTATCTGTCAACCTGTTTGTCAGTCAACCGATTTACCAGTTCGCCAATTTACTTGTCCACCAGTTTACCTGTCTACCAATATACCTGTCCACCAACACACCTGTCAACCTGTTAATCCGTATAACAATTTCGCAGTCCACCAATTTAACTGTTTGGAGCAACCCCTATCACTTGGCTTAAATCAAAATATCCAAAAACCAAATTAAACCTTTGATGCAATGAGGTTATTTGCTGTTGGGTACATGACGTTTAGAAAATTCCCCATCGAGCAATTTCTTTATATAAATAGATTGCTTGTCATTTTATTAGATCTTGCGGCGACTTTCTTTTCAGTCTTCTGATGGAATTTTGTTTTTGCAGATTTTTTTTAGTATCTCTGGTTTTTGCCTGTCTGGGGACGTGAAATGAATTCAGAAATTTGAATGTACAAAACAAAACATACTATTTAACACATACTTTTGTATACGTATGTGACACATATATTTTTTTTTTAATTTTATTTTAGATATAATTTACATCTGTCCAATGAACATTAGGTAAATATGTGACACATATTCATTAGTTGAAAGTGGCATTTTGCCTTAAGGCAAGTTGCATGAACTTCCCGAAATGTGTAATAATTGACTTAATTAATTGAAATTGTGATTTAGGTATTTAGATATTTTTTAATTGCACCGTACCATATCTTATTTACGTATCTCTTAATATTATTTAATGATTCAAATTAATGGTAACTTTTTTTTACACAATTAGAGAAGTTTTGTATGCTCATTTTTCCGCTAAATGCAAGAAATGGCTTTTAAATTTGTGAAATCAGAAAAGCTACTTCTAACACACACTTTGGCAGTTATTTTATTAACTGTTGATGAATTTTTAAAATTAAACGACTTGTCGCAGGGCCGTAAGTTTTTAATATGATTTAGAAGACCATGATATCAATCGTCAAAAAAAAATGATAAAAATCGTCGGAAAAAAATTTAATAGTTAATTACAAGAACCAAAAACTAATCAGGTCAATTTCCCACCAATATCTTTCAAACAGATATAAAATTATAAAACTCGGTTTGGATTTCCGGGCTAAAAAGTAGCCGATTTTTTTTTTTCACTTTTTTGCTATTTAGGAAGAAACCGCTCGGTTAAACAGACGCAAGTCCTCATCGAGTTACATCGAATGATTTTTATAATTTTGAAATCGGTTCATCCGTTTTTGATAAAACTTTGACAGAAGGTAAAAAATCTGTCACACTCGCACTCACACACACGGATTCGGAATGACTTTAAATGTCGAGAAAACATGAAATTAAAAAATCGAACTTTTTAATGAACAACAAAACTTTACTAATAATAATGAATTTAATATTACCTCAGAGCGCTCTAGCCGTTTACAATGCTGCTCTTCAAGATGGTCGATTCGTTGCTGGAGCGGGGGCAACCGAGATCGAGTTGAGGAAGGAACTCCTGTCTCATGCCAACACCTTGCCCGGTGAGATGAAAAATTGAAATTATTAAATAAATTAGTTAATGAGCTTCAACAGAAAATTAGTATGAATTCCGGAAGTAGCTGCAAAAACATATATGTAATTGATTCTTAGGTAAACCGCTCAGTTTTTTTTTGTTTTGTTAATATTTAACCATGATTGATATCCGCTTCGGATGGCTTGATGTCAAGATGTCAGTATAGATTGCAATATCTTTGCAAGTGAAAATAGCTGTTCTCTGACATTGCTGCATCCAATAAAAAACTACCTGCAATAGGGTAATTCTAATAATAAATCTTATAAACTGATTATTTTAGGCGAATATCTTCATTAGAATCTCAATAAATGTTTATGTATTTGTAGTTGTACATGTTTTTTTTATAATTGAAAATAACTTGTGTATAAAAAATAAAAAATATTAGTCTTTAGAACTAAATGAACCAATAAATTTTATTTACACTATTTAGGCATGGAGCAATATGCCATTAGGCAATTCGCCAAAGCCCTAGAAATTATACCCAGATGCATTGCCGAAAATACAGGTGCCAACGCCACTGAATCCTTAGACAGCGTTATTGACGCACACAATTGGGGACACATGTATGCTGGGATGGACATCGAGACCCAGGGTATGATTTCATTTTAGTTATATGACCAGAAATATTATTAAACAAAAGTAGTTCCATTTATTTTGTACATAACACAAACTGTTGGCGAGATTGCTGTTAAAAATATTATATAATATTTTAACGTACATATATACATATATATTAGATGACCCGACAGACGTTGTCGGGTCACGACTAAAACACTGAGTTTCCAAATTTATCACACAAAAAATCTTCGTCTGCCTTTGTGATGTGTTTATGGTCATAGCATAAGATGAAATTTTTTAAAAGTCTTTGAAGTCTTTTAAAAAGTATAACAAATTCAGAAAGAATCAATGTATAGCATTCGCGGTAAAGGTACAATATCACCTTGGATTTTTCTACTCAAAATAATTGCTTCAATAAAATTGCCTATAATTTTCATAATTTTGTACCATATTTTAACTGGCTTGTAGTAATTTTAATCGAAATTACATATTTCTCACTGTAATTTCAATATACCTATCACTTAAGTTCATATTTGAAGTGAATTAATTTATCAAATCCTGTTCACATGTGCTCTGTTCAACCTACGATCAGATATATTATTGCAGTAAATAGAGAGGAAAAAAGCGCGTGCCCTGTGATTTTTTTTACTGTGCTACAATTTGCATGATATTTTGAAAATAAGCTAGTCTTAATCTTAAATTCAGAAGTGAAAACAATTTGCACTCTGTCACCACCCCCGCATTAATTGGATTATAACTCTTTGAATTCTGATTTTATCAGAACTTGTAATATACTATTAATATAAATTATATTATAAAGGTAATTAATTGAGCTACAACGAGTTTAGGTCGAGCGTTCGACAGGTAAAGATCGAGGTGAAACTGATACAAATAATATTAGATAACAAATAATAAACGTGGTATGAATCACAGGCTCGGGCCTGCTGATTTGCGGTTGCCGGTATCCAGCAACAATAGTGTAGTGAGCACAGAAGTTTTTTTTTTTTTTTTTTATTTATTTTACATGGCTGTGGATCTTGCGATCATTACGCCAGTTATAATTTTACATTATTGAGTATTTATACAGTAATTTTACTATTATCTATAAAACTATATACAATTTTATATAAATCTACATTATTACTAGATATTAATACTTGTGTGTTTACTGGAAATATAATATTTTTTTTTTGCAGTTTCTGATACATATTTCTTCTTGGATTCTCATACATTCTGCATTCCCAGAACATATGATCTATTGTCTCCGGTTCGTCACCACATTGGCATATATAATCTTGGATTATTCCCAACCTCCAGAGATGAATCTTGCACATTGTATGCCCCAGCCTTAATCTTGTAATTGTTGATACGAATTTCCTACTGCTTGTATCATTTTTGAACCAGGTTGTTTGAGATACCTTTTCTTTTGACAGGGCATAAATTATACCCTTGCTTTTTGTTGACGTTGAGAAGTCTTTTTGCCACACATCTATGCTCCGCTCTTTGATTAAATTTTTCAGCTCCAACGCAGGTATTTTTTCACATTGTACTCCAATTTGACCAGCTTCTTTTGCAAGAGTATCAGCAATCTCATTTCCTGTGATACCTGAATGTCCCCTGATCCACGTCAATATTAAAGAATTTATGCCATTATTTATTGCATTCATTTTATTTATAATTTCTATTATCATGTTATTTGATCTTCTATTTGGGTTCGCTATCGCTGATATACATGCTTTGCTGTCACTAAATATAATTGTTTTCGTGATGTTTTTCTCCCACGCATAATTTACAGCACAGTATATAGCCACCATTTCTGCTGTGTAATTAGACGCATAATTTGGTAGCTTAATTCTCTTACTAAAATTGTGATATGGCACAAATATAGCGCAACCACAACTGTACCCTGCTTTAGATCCGTCTGTGTAAATGTGTACATATCCTGGCCATCTTCTAGCCACATTATTTTGAAATTCTTTATTTTTTGCGGTATCATTCAAATGTGTCAAGTGAGTTAAATCCATATCCATTACTATGCAATATTTTGTTGATGTGTATTCATTCGTAAGATGATAAATTGGCAACTTTTTATTCATTATTACATCCTCTTCGTATGGTTTCAGCTCATAAAAGCTATTTATCAAGGGTGGGATTGGTCTATTTCTCCAATATATATTGGTAAAATGTAGCCTCGCTAATACTTCTAATTGTTTCGGTATATCATCACATGCTCCATTATATTTTTTTATTAAGAATCTATTTGATAGGATCTGCTTTCTAATGCTTAGTGGAGGTTCACCTGCTTCAGCTATTAATGCATTCGTTGGAGTTGATCGAAATGCCCCCAAACATGTTCTTATCGCCGAGTATTGAATCCTGTCCAACTTTTTTTGGATATTCGTTGAGAGTGCTCCATATATAAAGTAACCATAATCTATTTGTGATCTTATTAAGCTTCTATATATATTGAGACAAGTTTCTGGGTGAGCCCCCCATTTCATGCTTGTTATTTTTCTGAGAACATTTAATCCTTTTTCACATTTGCTTAATATATCATCTACATGCTTTTTAAAATTCATTTTCTTATCCAAATTGATGCCCAGAACTTTAATATTTTCTTTTATTTGTATCTCCTGACATCCTATCCTTATTTGTCTCCTAGTATGTTCTTTTCTGTGTCTGGTAAAGATAGCTGCAGAAAACTTATCCTGTGATAAATTCAGGTTATTGTCCAATAACCATCTTCTGCTCTCCTCGATAGCATTGCTCATCGATGAAATACATCTATCCATAGTTGGACAAGATACATACAGATAAATGTCGTCTGCATATTGCAATTTTTTAACATTCGGTTCTGTTACTACTTTAAAATCTGCCATGTATATATTAAACAAGATGGGGCTCAATATTGAACCCTGAGTGAGACCTTTGTTCATAACTCTAGGGCCAATTAGACCTGAGTCGGTTCGAATATATAATTGTCTAAAAGATAGTAAATTAATTATCACATTAATTAATTTTTGTGGTAAATTTAAATGTTTTAATTTTTTCTCCAGTATATTGTGATCTACATTGTCATACGCCTTTTCTATGTCCATCGAGATTACCAACATATATTGATTATACGAATTGGATATATGTATATCATTTGTTAATTTGCTCAGTAAGTCCAACGTACTTTTCCCTCTCCGGAAACCAAACATAGAATTATTTAAAACTTCTTTATTTTCAATATATCTATCTATTCTCTCTTTTACAATTCTTTCAAAAGTTTTAGCGATGCATGATATTAAGGAAATGGGTCGATATGAGTCTATTTCCAAGGGTCTTCTGTGTGGCTTCATACATGGAACTATTATAATTTTCCTCCACTCTTCGGGAATCCAATTATTTGCTATGATTTGGTTGAATACAGTTAGTAATTCAATTTTCATTTCCGTAGGCCAATTTTTTATCATCGTATACGGTATATTGTCATATCCAGGAGCCGTATTTTTCCTCTTTTTTAATGCATCCTCTAATTCCTCTAATTTGAAATTCCTTGTCAGTGCGCTTTCTTCACAATATACTCCTATATTTTCTTTACGATTGTCCGAAACAAAGTCTGGTGCATAATTTTGTAATAGTAATTGCCCAAATTCTTTTTTAATTTTTTGTGTTGTGTTTATAATGTTATTTTTATTTTTAAAAAGTCTAATTTTGTTCCAAATTACTGCGGGACTCATGTCCTGATTGATGGAATTAATGAAATTCAGCCAACTTTCTTTTTTCTTGTTTTTCAAAAACTTTTTAGTGCGTGCATTGATTTTTTGGTATTGTATGAAGTTTTCGTAATTACAATGCTGACGCATCTTTTTATATGTTGTTCTTCGATCTGAAATGGCTTTTTCGCAATCTTGATCCCACCATATCGCTGGCTTAAAAATCGGTCTCTTAATTTCTTTATATTGTTTTATATTTTTCTCTGCAGATTTTTCGGTAATCTGTATGATACGTTTATATCTCGCTGTTATATCGTCTGAGATTTGTCCTGTTTGAATATATTGCATAATATCTCGGGAGTATCCCTGCCAGTTAGCAAATTTTATATTCCACTTTTTTGTAGGGCGCGTTCTTATGACCAAAGGCACCTTTATCTCCAAAGTTATTGTTATAGGCAAATGATCCGATCCCAATACCTCTTGGCATACATCCCATTTAATAGTATCTATAAAATTTCCTGAGCACAGTGTTAGATCTATGTTCGTAGCACTCCTGTATTTACTTGCTACTGTAGTTGGACGTCCGTCATTAAGAATTAGTATTGCGTTGTCCTCTATGATTTCATATAACATATTACCTTCCCTGCTATTGTATTTGCTTCGCCATGCCAAATGATGACAATTAAAATCGCCAGTAATTAAAAAGCTCATGTTGATTGTTGAGATAGTGTCCTTGATATCTGAAAAATCTAATTCTGTTCTAGTAGAGCAATATACTGAGAGAATGCAAAATGGAGTATCTGTTTTAATTATGGCGGCGCATATTTGTATATTCTCATTATTGTTGACTGAAGGAAATTCCTCACAATTTATGTCATTTCTAACAATGATTGCTGCTCCTCCATATCCATCTTCCCTGTCTTTGCGAAACATTCGATATCCTCTGAAAGAGTATTGATATTCCGGTTTAAACCATGTTTCAGTGAAAGCCGCGATTGAAATTTCATTTTCATAAAGGAAATGTTCAATACTGGCCTTATTAGCTGTAACAGATCTGCAATTAATTTGTAGTATTTTTATTTTTCCAGTCATTTATTTGTCATATATTATTTTTGTCATCTATCCATATCTTTAATTAACTCTTTCAGAATTTTTAATGTGTAATCTTTTTTCTTTGATATGTTAATAATTAATTCTTCGATTAATTTATCGAATGGAATTTCACCTTTCTCACTATTGATATGTGAGGAAGATTTTGGTTTTGTGTTAATATTGTATTTAAATTTGTACCTGTTTCGCTCCTGTGTACTGGACATATTTTCGATTGTTTTGT